CGGTGTGGGGCTCCACCTCGAAGAGAGGCGCTCGGCGGCCGGGCTGGTCAGTGGAGCCGAGCCGTGCCCAGCCACCGAAAGGATGGGGAGACCCTGGCCCGCCTCTCCGGCTTCTCTGCCCGGCTTCTGGATTCTCTTTGGCTTCGTGACAGGTACCCCTGGGAAATCGGGGAGTGGGGGAGGTTTTTTTGGGGGGGGTGCAAACCGAAGGGGCTTCATGGGGAGGGAAACACGACTTATGGGTTACCCCTTAGAGAAAACCAGGACCAACAAAGTCTCCAGTTTGCCCCTAAATTGCAAAGGGAGAAATAATTTCCCTGATTTGAACAGAACGGACAGCCTGTTCCACCCACCTGGGAGAGATGGGGGGGGAGATCCACTGTGGATGATGGGTCCCCTTGCCTTTCCCTCTTTTCCCGTAGCGATCATTAAACCAAACTCGCCCTGGCCGTCTTGAAAAAGGCAGAAGAGAGACGTCAGAACTGTTGATCGGTCTTATGCCATTTTCCCACTGCTTCCAGGAGAATAACCGCCCCCCCAAATTCCAATAAATTCCAAGAGGATTCCCACAAATCGTTCCAAAAATCATGTACCGAGAAATTCACTGAAAGTAGGAAAACATGGGATCCCTTCTCCTCTTGATTTATCTTGAGAAGCTGTGAGCTTCGCCTCTTTAACAGGGAGTCAGGGAAGACAGATAGCTATATCTAGAGCTAAGAAGAGTTACTTTTTAAAAACTACAATGTCCCCAGAATCCCCAGCTTGAAAAGTAACTTTTCCACCTCTACCCATACTCTACCTGTCTTTTCTCCGTCATCAGATTAATAGCAGCTTGGTAGGGCTGAGTTTTTCAGGCAAGGGGTGGTTAACCTGCGGAACTCACTGCCCCAAGAGGCATGTGGACAGTAGCGTAGGCGGTAGTATCAGAAAACACATACAGATCAAATTGGCCGAAGACCGCTCTGCGGCCGCCCTTGTCCAGCCTGCTGTCCAGACGGAATCACGATTCATGCTGGTCAAGGATGATGAAAGTTGCCCAGGAATGCCAAATATGGGGAGGCTGAAAGAGTAAAATAATTGCGTTACTTATTTTTCTCCTTTTATTACTATTTTTAAATGGAACAGCATAGGAAATATTTTCTTGAATATCATGGCAAATGTAACAAAGAAAAGTAATTAGAAAAAAAGCAATGTAGAAAAGTAACTAGGAAATGAGTTGCTCTTCCAATGAAGTCGCTCCTTCCTACTCTTTGCACTACTTTTGAAATTTAACTTTGTTATGGTTTTCCAAAGAAAGCGACTTATTATGGGTAACTGCTTCCGGCTCTCCACTGAGAAGCTGAGAGAGCTGGGTTCAAGTCTTGCCCTGGATAACCTGGGGTCAGTTTCTCACTCTACCCGCCTGGCCTACCTCAGAGGGTCATTGTGAGAATAAAGTAGGAAGAAGGAGAGCCGTTAACTCTCCTTTTAACTCCTGGGAAGAAAGAAAGACAAGATTTACACGTAAAAAAAAAAAAGGAATATATTTATCATTTGGGGGGGGGAGTGCTGTTGCAGTTTGGACTAGTAACCGGTTGCCCATGGATGGAGGTTTTGCTTCCAACCGCCTGGGAACAGGCCCTCGACCCTCCTCGCTGGGTCTCCTCCCTAATTATCAGCAATTAAGTCTGATGAGATGCCCCTGCTCCAAAGTTCTTCCATTAATTATCTGGTCTGGGAATCCGCCCAAAGAACCTTTCCCATTCAAGACAAGGCCTTGCAGAGACCCGAGGGGGGGGCGTGCAAAAAGAAAAAGAACAACCCAAAGAGTCCCCCCCCTCCTAGCATCTCTCCAAAATTTGTCACATGCAAATTTCCAGACTGACCGATTCGCCCCTCTTTCTTGTGTTGCTCTTGCTAAGAATCCAGATTCATCCTCCAAGGCTTTCCTCTTCTTCTCTGTTGCCATTTCTCGGTTCTTCTGCCTTACCGCCCTCTTGTTCCAAACGGCCACAGAGTCAGTTTCCCGAGTAAGGAAATCATACGACGAGGCTTGCCTGTGCCATTTTACCCTAAACGATTTAATTTAAGGGAAAAAAAGATTTAAAAAAAAATACAACCTACGGGAGATGGCGAACTAGCCCAACTCCGCTCTGTCGTTGCTTTTCGCGGGGAATTGGGCCTGTCGGGTCAACAGGATTACTTTATGGGAAATTGCTAAGGGTTGATCGACTCTTTCCACCGTGATCTTTCATCGTTGTCCCGATCATGCCCTAGCTTGCCGCCATTAAGCGACCCATGGACTTCACAGAATAACGGAGTCGGAAGGGAGGGGGGTGTCTCGAAGGCCATCTAGTCTGACCCCCTGCTCCAGGCAGGAATCCCAACCCAAGCAGATCCGACAGAGGAGGGGTCCCGTTTTCTCTTGAATTGCCTCCTTTTCCCTTCCAGCCGCCGGGGCCGTGAAGGTGTCGGTGGTCGCCGACAGCATCCAGGTGGTGCGCGGGGGGAGCGCCCTCCTGCCTTGTTCCTTCCACACCACGGCGCCCTTGGACCGCCTCAGCATTATCTGGACCGTCGCCCCCTCCTCGGACCCCGGTCAACCCCGGCAAGTGAGTTACAAAAGTGACTTCTCTATCTGACGTTCTGCTCCATGACGGATGCCTTCATCATGCTGTTACAGTAGGAACCCCCTAGCCATGGGGGGATCGCTTCCAAGTTGCCTGCCCCCCCTCGAGATGCTGAAAACGGCACAGGGCAAGATCTCTAGCAGCCAGTTCTGGTGACGACATCATGAAAATACATCTTTCTGTTTTTTCTTCTAATAATTATAGATCGCGGATAAGCGAAACGGTGGATACCGATCCCGTGGATACAGGGGATCCCACTGCTTGTCATTATATTAATCCTTTTGAAAATGAACATTTCCAGCCAGAAACCATATTCAGGATTGCTGACTGATAGACTAGAGATCGGGCTCACTGCAGTCACCTTTTATTTACGTTCACCCAACCCACGGGATGAAAATGGGTGGGGGTGGATTTTTCGGTTCCAGGTTTTCAGATCTAGGGATGAGACGTCACATCTTCTCCCCTGTTCCGACTCTCAGGGCATCCCCGTCCGTTTGGGGTGCTTCCCAGGCATCTCAGGTGGTTCTTTCTGTCTCCCGCAGGTGCTTGCATATGTGCAAGGTGAGGTAGTGGAGAGCTTGTCTCATTACACCGGCCGGGTGGCGTTCGCCTTCTCGCCGACCAAGAGCGCCACCATCATCCTCAACGACACGCGCGGTCTGGATAGCGGCATATATCAATGCAGCGTGACGAACCCGCCTGATACCTCCACGCCCAATATTGGGGTGGTCCGGCTCACCGTGTTTGGTACGGCTGCCTCCCCGTCCCCCTCCCATTTAAATCCAACCATCTGCTGCACAGAGGGAACACACCACACGTTATTCCCTCCCGCCCTGCTCGTTTGCACATGGATTCATATTGCAGCTGTAAAAACCAGGATGTGTTCCTCTAGCAGCTCAGGTCTTGCAGAACTTACATGATACTGCCGATCGACACCCTCTAAGCAGCAGCGGCTGTAAAGGAACGCTTTTAGGCCGTGTGCTTACCTCTCTTGGAAAGTGATTCTGGACTTCTGAAGGTGAATCATCTCCTTCCTGGGAAGCGGATGTTGTGGGTCCCGAGCTAAGCTTTGTTACTTTCTCCCCGACAGTGCCGCCCTCCAACCCACGATGCTCGAGCGAAGGGACCACGGAAGAAGGAGGCAGTCTCCAGTTCTCCTGCACGGTAGAGGAAGGGATGCCCCTGCCCACCTTCACCTGGGAGAAAATCCCCCCTGAAAACACGCAGCCTTTGGTGGTGAGCTACGAAGGTAACACAACTGTGTGTGAGTGTGTGTGTGCGAGTATTGGCTTCCCAGGGCTCAGGGCTGCAGCAGAGTGTGTTTGTGTGTTTGCGAGTGTTGGCTTCCCAGGGCTCAGGGCTGCAGCAGACGTCTTCAGGAACAGCCGTGCTTCTTCAGGTCACCCCCAGTGGGGACACATCTTAGGACGATGGGCGCCAGGCGAGGATATTGGCCGTGGTGGAGCCAGGGTTGGAGTTCGAATCCTCGTTGTGCCTCCTGGGAGGGGAGCCAGCCAAGGAGATTCCCCCCCTCCCCGAAGGAGCCCCTGTAGCCGACGGGGTAATGTGATGTGCGCTGGGCGAGCCCCAGGGGGTCCCAGAGCGCCACCCGGAGGCGGGACTGAGAAACTCCTTCTGATTAACTTATACCTAGAAATCCCCGGGGAGGATTCCTGTGTGAGCTATCACAGGATGATGATGAAAAGCTTAGTTCCTGGGAGTATGGGTTTTTAATGCCTCTGAAGGACATTTGCTTGGCGGTGGGGGACGGATGGAGACTGAGGTCAACCAGTGATGTCCAATCTCTCTCTCTCGTTCCTTCCGCGACCCAGACGACCGCCGGGCTCTCCTGCCTTTGCCGAACCTCACCGCCGACGCCTCGGGGCTTTACCGCTGCCTGGCCGCCAACATGCTGGGCTCCGTCTCCTGTGTCCTGGAGTTGCGGGTTCACGTCGGTGAGAACCTCCACGGGTGGGGTGTGGGATGGAGAGGGGGCCCCCCCACCCTGGGGCAGCGCCGCGGCGTCTAGACCGGTGGCCCCACTGGTGAAGTCCCTACGCTCAGGCCGGGCGGCTGGATTCCACCTCCCTTCCACCCATCAATTCCCCCCCCGTTTTCTCCCAGCCCCCCACGGCCCCACCTCCCTGGTGGTGGGCATCACCCTCATGCTCAGCATGGGGCTGGTCCTGCTGACCCTCTTCGCCCTGGGCTTGTGGCTGCACCACGACCGCGTGGCCAAGTGGCCAGAGAACGAAGAGGAAGACTCACACAACGAGATCAGGTACAGCCTCGCGCTCCACCTCCCCCATGGCTTGCTGCTGGTCTTGTGGCCGCAGGCTGATGGGAACTGTAATCCGACGTGACGGCAGGCGGCACCGGGCTGCCCCCCCCCCAGTCGGGAGGTGGTTGAGGGGCAGACTGCCCCTTGGAAGACCTCTCAGGCCTTTTTAGCCCTCCTCTCCCTGCCTTTTAATTCCTGCTCTGGTTTAGCAAATATTGAGCCGCTGCTAAGAATCACCACCCCCTCCATCTTAGGCCAACATGCCAAGCGAGAGCGCCCCCCCTGAATCTGGGACGAGGGGGAATCCTCTCAGGCTCTCGTGGGCCAGGCAGAGTTGTGTGTGTGTGTGTGTGGGGTGCTCAGCGCTTGCTCGTTGCTCCGCAGGATCGACAGTTTTTCCTTGGGGCGCCTGATCGTGGCCCCCTCCGGAGACGGCCTGGCAGCCCCTTCCGCCTCCAAGCCCCTCTGGATCTTCACCAGCTCCACACCCAACACCACCTTCGCCCACCGCGAATGGAGGCCCCGGACGCAGAAGAAGGCGAGCCAGGCCGCACCGCCGGGGGGCCTCCAACCGCCTGCCCCAGCCGGCCCCGGGAGATGGAGGAGCGCCAGCCTCTCGGAGCGGCAGGACTCCTTGTCCAGAAGCGAGGAGAAGCACCCCACCCCCAAACCCATAGGGTTCCTGGTCTAGGAGCCGCTGGGTACGGGAAGGTGCTCGTCATGCCAATAGAGATGGGATTGTTGGGGGGGGGAGGCCAAGGCTGTGCTGTTGTGACCCCCCTACACGGGTGGCCATTTTTGGCTTGTACTCCATAAGAATAAGAATAATAAAGAGAACCACCCTTGTCCTTGGAGTAAATATTTCGGGAACGGAGGGCCCTTGCTTGCATTTCCTTCACGGCACACGAGTCTACACGACCAATACGGGCGGACGGTAGCAGTAGCAGCGCGTCCAGTGACCTGTTTGACCTCTAAAAATCGTAATCAAACCCCTTTCCTGGAAGCCACGGAAACTGGTATTCTGATCTCCTCCCTTACCATCTTTAGGGGCATTTCTACATCCCCATCGGCCTCCTTCTCCAGCAAAAGGGGCAGCCCAGAGCACAGAAACACATCCTCTTGATCTGACATGTCAACCCCCCACCCCTCGCAGCCGAGCCACGCCAAAAGCTAACACCACCTCCCTTAAGAAGTGTCTTCATCTTTCGAAACCAAAAGTTCTCCTCTGGTGTTTGTTCTCGTATAGGATGTGCCATTAACTTGCATCCCTTTGGGGGGGGTGGAGGCAATTCTTAGAAGGCTTTTAAAGACAACTGAAATGGCTATCAAGGGGTTTTGCCAGTTTCCGCTCCCCCCCCCTCCCTGGGGGAGTTTCTGTCCCTGAGCAGATTCAAACCCGGCTCTTCTACGTCTTCGCCTGTCATTCGCTCCACGGACCCAGAAACAGAACACAAGGCGCCCGGGCTGTCGTTCTGTTACTCTTGTTTCTTGATTCCAGATTTATTACTCTTTGAAAAAGAGAACAAGGGAAGAAGAAAAAAAATAACCATCTAGGCCAGTAGCCCCCTCCCCCCGCCCCCCGCAAAATGGGATGCCAGCGATACCCGTCAGCTTCCCCTGCCTGGGCACACAGTTTCTATGGTTCAAGGGTGCAAAGTAAAATAGAATAAACAGAAAGAGAGAGAGAGAGAGAGAGAGAGAGAGGTGAGGCTGGCAATTCTTCCTCCCCTCTAGCCTCATCGAGGGCAGAAACAAGCAGAGAGAGTGCGCGCGCACACAAGAGAGCGAGTGAGCCAGAAAGCCCGGCTCCTGCCCTCCACGCTCCAAAGGGGCAAGAAAAGGTTCCAAGAAGGCCCCTAACGGGGGGGGGGGGCTGGATCGGCAGTGGGAACTCCATCCAGGATGATGCCTGGACCGAGGCCGGCTCTCTGGCTTCCCAGAGGCAGCACCAAGGGCTGTGGGGCAGAGGGGAGAGGGCGGGCGGATGCCTGGACCAAGGCCGGCTCTCCAGCTTCCCAGGAGGCGGCACCGAAGGCTGTGGGGCAGAGGGGAGAGGGCGGGCGTGCAAAGTGTCTACGTGATACGGCATGCATGCATGTGCGTGCGTTCCCCTGCCTCCGACCCGTGCAAAGGCGGCTTGGGCAGGTGAAGGTCAGAGGACGCAACCCGGGCCTCGGTGGGGGTGATTAAAACAAGGAGTCTTTTGTCGGGAGGCTGCGGGTGTCAGGACCGGCAGGGAGGAGGCCGAGGGTCCGTGCCAGAGGCCCTGGGGCTGTGGGGCTCGCTGTCCCTGCCTTCTGCTTCTGTAGAACGAGAACGGAGGCCCAGGCGGGCCCGCGAGCCCAGCAACGAGGCGCCCTCTGTGGCCGCAAAGGAGCCACGCTGGCCAGAGCTGAGCTCTCCTGCCCGGCGGCCGGTCAGTGGGAGTCCTTGATGATCACCTCCACGCCGTGCTGGCGCAGCTGGGCGCGCAGGAGCAGGTTTTTGCTCTTCAGGTCTTCGACCTGCAAAGGGGGGGAGGAGGAGGAAAGAGCCGGGTTGACAAAGGGGGCCGAGGAAGGCCGTTGGAGATGGGACGGTTTGGAGGGCGCTCGATCCTGGGGCCGCCCTGAGTCGGAGGTGACTGGACCACACACAACCATCACAGGAAGTGGTGTTGAAGTTGGGGTTCCCCACACACACACACACCCTTACCTGCTGCCGCAAGACCTTGTTATCCATCTGCAGCTGGTCCAGGCCTTGCAGCTCCTCCGAGAGACGGATGTTGCTCTGCCTCAGCTCCTGGATGTAGTCGCAGGCTTTAGACAGAATGCCGCCTTTACTCTGCCAGGGAAGGGAAAGTCGGATCAGGAGGTGGGGAGAGAGGGGGGGGTCTTCGCAGGATGGACGACACCCCTACCGGGAGGGAATCAGCTCACAGCCCCCACCTCCCGTGGGAAGCCTCCGGATTGTGCCCCGTCCTTATGGCCAAGACAAAGGCCCAGGCGTGTAACACTCCTTTCCATCCCATTGGCACCAAAATCCGCATCCTCTTTAGGGCACAAAAGCATCCCAAGCTGGGGGGGGGGGGGCACGCTGAACGACAAAACACACTTACGCAAGAAGAACTCCCCCCCCCAATAACAGCTTCTAGGATCAGCGAGACAGCCGGTTGCCCCCCCCCAGGATCCAATGATGAAGCGCCCACTATAAGCGCCCAGATAAACTCCGAGGTGTCGAGGAACACGTTTGAGCGACAACATTTGCCTCCAGGTCAAGACGACAGCTGGGATGCCAGACGGTGTCCACTTGCAGACACACACACACCCCAAGCAATCTTGGCCCCCTCCTCCCTCTGTCCTCTCACACGCCTGCTCTGGTCCTTCAGCGGAGAATCAGCAAACCTTTCAGACCCTCCAACCCCCCCTCCCCGAATCGCCAAGCCAGCCACCTCGGCCCCTGGGGGCTTGGCTGCTCTTTTCAAGTTCATCTCCTACCCCGCAAGGCTGTCGTCTGTGGAGAGAAGACAGAGGCCCCGGCAAGGAGCACCCCCTGCATGCCCAGGCAGGAGCCACCCCTCCCCTCACCTGCCCAGATTTGGTGTTCTCCATCGAACAGTCGGGGATGATTTTGGACAGCTGCACGATCCAGTTGTTGATCTTGTCCCGGCGCCGGCGCTCCACTGGAAGGAGAAAGAGGCACTCCAGTGTCCCTCGGACACGCAAAGCGAAACCCTGGACTCCCCCACCCCACCCCACCCCACCCGTGACCGTCAGAGAACAACAGCGTGCAGTGGTTTTCACATGATGACCCCCCCCAGAGGCGTCGGATGTCTATCTTCAAACCTTTTGAATTCCAAAAGGTCTGGAGAAGAGAAGAGCTTGAGAAGCCACCTCCTTACGAGGAATCCCATCGCTGCTGAGGTTTTTAGGCTACGCGACCCACCAGACACAGCTGGCAAAGGGGATGAGCAGCGACGGTGGCGCAGCCGATGTCAGCCTACGAGACGTGAGCTAGTTCACCTCACCTTCGTTGTGCTGCGCCCGGCGCTTCTCGTCTCGGGTCGTCCGAGGCGCTTCCGACTTCCTGAGGGGGAAAGAAAACCAGGATCCCGCAGATCAGCCCCGTTGCTTGCTAGAAGCCATTGCGGGAGAGCTCAGAAAATGCCCTCGTCCGCTGGGAAGCCACTTCGGGTTCAGGCGCCTCTGCCTCCCTCCCCACCCCCGGACCACCATTTAAGACAGGAGCGGGAATCGGGGATCACCAGATAAAGGGGGGGCACTCACGGCGAGTAGGGGTGCGTCCTCGGCGCGATGGATCGCTGTGTCCCGCTCTGCAGAACCTCTTGGGGCGACATCATGACAAAAAACTGCCCTGGGAGATCAGCAAAGGAGCGAGGGGTTGCAAAGAGCGTCACATCCTTGCACAACCTCCCCCAATTTATCGAACCGGCAAAGAGCCGGCGAGACGTCCTCCTCTAAAAGGGGCAGACGGGGAGTTCCTGTTCCCAGGGTGAGGCCCAGCCAGCTTCTCCCCCGCGCCCCCCCTCCCGGACTCGTGTATCATCCCGAAGCCTCAAAACGGCCTTCTTGGTTCTGTGATGCCAACTTCCCACGCAAGAGGCGGAACCGTTCATTCACAGGATGTCGAGAGATTTTTTGACGCATACAAAGGAAGGAAAATGAGTGAAGAAAAAAAGTATAAAGAAATCTGAATCTGCCACCAGACTACCAGGACGGTCTCTGCATGCGGCTGTCACGGCCCACGCCAGAGGGAAGCCTCTCGGGCTAATAATAACCTCACATCGAGCCGAGTCCCGCTCACCTGTGCCGGTCGGCGTGGCTTGCCCAAGCAGGGCATCCGAGTTCTGGGTGGTCACCACCGCCGTGGCGGTCGTCCCGGCCCCCGTGGAAGTGCTGGAGTCGGCCACCGCCGTGGCAGGGTAGTAGGCGTAGTGGGTCTCGGTGGCCGTGGCTTCCGTCTCGACGGCATCCTCGCTGGTGAAGGCTCCCTGGATGACCGCCTGGAGGAGGGCGGAGAGGAGAACGTCAGCGGCTGAACACCCTTTCCATAGAAGCGCAGCGTGGCAGGGGATTCCCGGGACGTGTGGGCCCAAAACCGGTTGGCGGGATGAAAAAGAACAATCTATTTTAGCCGATGGCTGGCTTGACAGCTCGGTGAGTTTAGGAATCTGGCTGCGGAGCCAAAGATGGGGAGTTTGAATCCCACCACCACCACTGGGCCTCCTGGGGAAAGAGCCAGCCACGGCTGGCTAGACAGCTCGGTGAGTTTAGGAATCTTTGGCAGAGCCAAAGATGGGGAGTTTGAATCCCCCCACCACCATTGGGCCTCCTGGGGGAGGAGCCAGCCTGGGTGGCCTTGGACCAGCTGGACCATCCCAGGGATGCCCCCCCAGAAGAAGGGAAGAAGGGGGGAAATCACTTCTGAATTACTCTCCATCTATAAAACTCTGGAAACAGTTGCGGTAAGTCAGGATTGACTTGATGGCTATGATGATGATGATGATGACAGTAGTTCAAAGCTCTTATCGCCAGCAGGAGAGAGCGGTCAGCCTTTTACGTTTGCTGTATGTCAGGATTGACTTGATGGCTGTGATGATGATGACGACAGTAGTTCAAAGCTCTTATTGCCAGCAGGAGAGAGCGGTCAGCCTTTTACAAAACTCATGCAGAGAGTGGGAAACCATCATGGAGAGCCGCAATTTCTCTAGATCGCTGTGCCAGGCTAGGACCCCAAGAGGATCAGGATCGGACCTTCCTCATCCCCTCCACTCTCTGTCTGCCCCTTTGATGAGCTCCCCAGGATCAGGTCACAACACATCTCATTCAGCCATGTAAAAGAACTGGGACACCACGTATAGGGTGAAAGAATGATGACGCGGAACATCAGCTTGTGGGCTGGGGGTGGGAGACCTTTGTTACTTCCTGTTCACGTTCCGCCGACTGCTCTCCTTCTGAGGTGGGTCACCTCTGGACAGAGACATCCGAGAGAATCCCTAGAGATGATTTCTGTCAAACCGATCCGTCGGAGCTTTGTAAGTGACCAGCCACCACCGCGCCATGCAGGAGTAGCAAATGCCTTAGAGTAACTTACACACAGTGTAAAAGGGCTCCCTTTTCCCTCTCTTGGTAAGCTACGGCCAACCCGTCCCAACCAATCCATAAGGCCAAATTCTGCTCCTTAAAAAGAGGGTCCCCTTTCTGCCCGTTTCCTGCTTAACACACCGGTTATCCGAGCAGGATTTTAGCAGCTGATGTTGCTCTTCTTTCCACCTCCTCTCGCTGATCCGCAAAAGCGAGGAGGTCAGTGCGACAGATGAGCCAAAAAGCGCACAAGGATGTATCTCAAAAGCGCACGACACCCAGGCTCCCGCGTTTCACCCACTGTGACCTTGCCCCGATCCCCCTCAGAGGAGCCGCGCCGAGGCTTCGGCTGGAAAGGGGCACCTCCACGCCGCGGGCTTTCCCCGCTTCCTTCTCCCGCCCGCCTTGGCAGCGCCTACCTGGGTCATGGACTGCGTGGCCGGATAGCCGCTGATGGCCCCCGTGCCCTCCGTCTGCCCGTCTAGTTGCCCCTCGGCCACCTGAATGACTCTGTACATCAGCTGAGGAGAGAGTGACACGGAGACACCCCCCCAAGGGAGTTTAGACGCCGGGTAAAGGGGGGGGAAGAAACCAATGCAGAGGCAAGTCTTGAGACCCCCACACCGGAAGGGAGGAACCCCCTGTTCAGGCACACCGCGTCGGGCCTCCTGGCCTAACCCACCAACCATCCTGTCAGGACAACATGGAGTGGGAGGTGGAGAAAGGATGGACCCCATCTTAAATCTTTTCGGTCGGGCAGGTGTAACTGTGTCCATCTAGATGGTTTTCTGGAAGACCTCTCCCAGGACGCAGCCGGTGGCAAGAAAATTCAGGAACGGCTGCCCCCCAAAGATGGGGCAGGACCCCCCGGTCACACCCCGGCCTTAAAGCTAAAAGGGGCACACTGCAGACAAGGGGTGTGTGTGTGTTTGTGTGTGCGGAGGGTTTCCTGCTGGTAAAGTGCAATCAGAAGGAAAAAGGCCCACGTGCTTTAGCTCCCCATCCATGGGTGGGGAGAGGGCAAGGGGGGGAGACCCTATCCGGGTGTCTACATGGAGTAACCAGCAGAGCGGCAGTGTTCCCCCCCCACGGCCTCCTCCACTGTAAGGACCGGGCGATGCCTCACCTGCGTGCCTCCATTCTCCGTCCGGAAGACGTATTTGATGTTGGGGTCGGGAAAGGTGGCGGCCGACTGGATGCTGGCGATGGCCACGCTGGTGGGATCCTCCCCTGTGGCCACTGCACCTTCAGGAAAGAAGGGAACGGATGCCGCAAGGGGAGGGGGCCGGGGCGATGGTGTTCTGACAAGGGGGGGGCCTCCCCTTGCTCGGGCCCCCAAGCCTTGAGTCCCCAGAGGGGCCGAACCAGGCAGGCAGGTGGGGGGGGGGAAGTGCGTCTCCGTGGACAAAGCCAGCTGGGGACGACCCCTCCGGGGGTCCAACGGAAAAGGAAGCCGTGGGCTGAGGGGATGCTCACCTTCCTGGATTTGCACGGTGCCCTCCTCTGTCTCCGTCGCTTTCTGCTGTCTGCCGAGAGAAAAGAAGGGACCCGTTAAGAAGCCACCGCCTGGAACCGACATTTTGACGGCCTGCCTCTCTCTTCCCGCGGCTTTTCCAGAAAGGCAGTTATCTCCCTTCTCTTTCGCCCAGCCAGGTCCGCCTCTACCTGTCCCCAGAGATGACGTGGGTGCACGCTGCAGATCAAGCATTAAACCGGGGAGGTCCCCCCCCCTTGAAGAGGTTCGCCGGTCCCCTTCCTCCAAAGAGGCCTTCCAGGGCCCAGTCCTGACCCTTCAAATTAAAAATGGCCGAACTATGCCAAATCTAGGCTGAGCCACCTCTGGAAACAAAGATGATGCAACCGAGGCCGTCCTGTTTTGGGCACCTCATGAGACAGCAGGATGATCTCGGTCCAAGACCATCCTGGTGGGAAAAGAGGAAGACCCAACGCAAGATGGACGGACTCGCTAAAGGAAGCCACGAGCTTGGGTCGACAACAGCTGAGCAGGGCTTTTAAGGGCCGGGCATTTTGGAGGTGGTTCGTTCGCGGGGTCTCCTAAACCGAGGCTGTCCTGTTTTGGGCACCTCATGAGACAGCAGGATGATCTCGGTCCAAGACCATCCTGGTGGGAAAAGAGGAAGACCCAACGCAAGATGGACGGACTCGCTAAAGGAAGCCACGAGCTTGGGTCGACAACAGCTGAGCAGGGCTTTTAAGGGCCGGGCATTTTGGAGGTGGTTCGTTCGCGGGGTCTCCTCGCTGGTGGTCCCTCACGTGTAGCATCCAGAAAACCGGTTCTCACCCTTTCATGTCTCCACCCTGTTAGGCATTAGAAGATCAGAGCCTAGTTTTTTGTTTTCCCCTCCTTCTTCAGCGTGTCTTCATCCAAACCCTGGGAAGGACAGATAACATTCAGGAATGTGGCGTCAACTGCAATATTTCTGCATTTCCTAACACAAAGCGATCTACGCAATGTCCGGCAATATTAAAATAAACAGTGAGGGTTCCACCATCTGAAAGCAAAACCATGGTTTTAAAAAATGTCCCAGTGACATGCATCTGATAGACAACATGCCCAATTTTTATGCTGTTTGCCGTATCTTTGTTCAGAACTGCAGCCTATAAATGAAAATAAAAAGCAAACAAAAATAATTATTGGCTCCTTCGTCAAACAAACGTCATCTCAAAAGCTCAGGACTCTGGCCTTCCTCTTTTCATCCCTTTTCAGTGTCCCAGGAACCAAACAATGCAAATTTTGATCAAAAGTTTTGCAATGTATTATTTCCTTTTACAGTACTGTATTTATTTAAAATATTTCTATCCTGCCTTTCTCTCCAAAAGCACCCAAGGTGGCTTACATCCTTAAAACAGTATTCAAAAGCTATAAACAGTCAGTATGCAAATATTTAAAAAGAATTAAACAAGTATTATAATAAAATGGTAACTAAGATCAAGATTTAAACACATTTAAAACAACAGAGCACAAGACCCCAACGCAGGCAAGTCAGTCACTCCGGGAACGCCAGCCTGAAAAGAAAGGTCTCTTTAGCTGTTTGCAGAAAGACAGCCAAAATGGAGCCAGCCTCACCTCCAGTGGCAGGGAGTTCCAGAGTCCCTGGGAGTAGAACACCCAGAAGGCTGTTTTTTAAATCACTTTTTTTTAAAAAAAAGAACACTCCCATTTCTTTTTCTAGACAGTTCAGAATTTGGATAGGAAAGACAGCCGCTCAACAAAGCTGAATACTTTTAAATTTTATTTTTTCATTTTTAGGCCTTGCGTGCCGACTTCTTCCAGGTCGCTACACCTCTTGTAACCTGTTTATGAATTGATTGTTTTTACTTAAAATGTTATGGTTGTTGGGTTTTAGTGTGTTGTAAAATACCCACAATAGCATGTCACATTAACGGGGAGCAGGAGATAAACAAAGGAAAACACAATCCAGTAGCAAAAACAACAACACAAGACTATCAAATCGGAGCAGATTTTTTTTTTTACAAAAAGCTTTTATCCAAAACGATCAGTTCTGCACAAACTGGCAAGTGGGATTCCAATCCACACTCTCGTAATAAATGCATTTTTGGGAAGCTGATGATACAGGAGGGCCCCTTGATTTGTGGAACGATTATGCACTGATTTACTTATCCACAGTCAGAAAACATTAAAGGAAAAACCCCTGAAATATATACATCTCAAGATGAAGTCACCAGAATTTAACTACGAGAGGCAGCCAGAAACCACACTACACACTGTATAGGGTATATTAAAATAGCTATAATCCACATTTTTTGGCATCCGCAGGGGATGTGCACAACCCATCCTCCACGGATACAGGATCCTATTGTACGGCATGAAAGGTCTCACTTACTTATTTCTTTAAAACACTTTCACTCCACCTTTATCCTTAAAGGGGACCCAAGGCGGCTTATTTAAAAGCTAAAGACAGGAAGTATGCAAATATTTAGAAAGAATCAGCCAAAGACCATATTAAAAGACGGTGAACAAAAGCAACACCAGAAGCACGTTTAAAAGCAACAAGGTACAACCACCCATTTAAAAAAAAACCTCCCAGGCAATTAATCATCATTGCAGGAAGTCCCATTTTGCTTCCTGATGCCTGCTTTTTTTTTTAAAAACCTGGAGGTGCTTCCCAGCTGGGAATGGGGCCCCTTCTTACTCTCAAGCAGCCCCATTACCTGGGCTGCTGTCCTGCCCCTCCCTGTAAACTCTGCAAGTCCTTTGGGAAGGAAGGGACTTTCTTATGTAATAGCCCCTCCTCTGTTATTGTTTGTTTAAAATATCTATACCCTGCCTTTCTTCTTGGAAATAATCCAAGGCAGCCGACATCATTAAAAAAAAAGAATATTTCAAAGTTACCAACATCTCCCTTTATGATCCTGCCTGGGTGTTAAGATCATCTGGGGAGGCCCTTCTCTCGGTCCCAATGTCTTGGTGGGGACCCGGGGCAGGGTCTTCTCAGTGGCTGCTCCCAGAGGCCCTGGAACTCCCTGCCACTGGAGACCTCGTCTTGGTGGGGACCCGGGGCAAGGTCTTCTCAGTGGCTGCTCCCAGAGGTCCCGGAACTCCCTGCCACTGGAGACCAGCCCGCAAGTAGGCAAAAAGATCTTTATCTTCCCTTGATGACCATCTATCGAGGTTTTTATATGGAGCATTATGCCTTGTTGCTTTTAAATACGTTTTTAGTATTGCTTTTGTTTACCATTTCTTAGAGTGGCATCTGTCTGATCCTTTTTTAGCATTTGTATGCTTACTCTTTTTAGCTCTAAATATTGTCTTTTACTTCAGGTCCTTTTTCTTTTAAAGAGAAAGGTGGGGTAGAGCTATTTTAAATAAATAAACAGTAAGTAGACCAATACCATCGCTCCTTCCCTAATTAATGCCACGCATTAACTAACAATAAAGTAGCACAGGTGTGGATAGAAAACTTTGTACGTATTCCCTCAATCCTATACTGTATTGCAGAGGTGTCTCTTGATGTTTCTAAGGATTCACAAAGTGCGGTTTGTGTGTTGTTATCAAGTATTCTTCTCTCTCTCTCTCTCATTTTTTGACTTATACCCTGTCTCTGGCCTTGCATATTGCGATTTCTGATGCGGCAAGCCACCTCGGTCCCTGTTTTGAGGAGAAAGGCAGAGGAAAAAAACATTTTAAACAAATAAAAATCAAGATATTGCTGGGCTCCTGACACGAATGAACACGTGAACGGGGGGGGGCAAGGGCCTCCTCTCCTGGGGATAGACACGTGTAGGCATGTACGTGTGCATGCACGAACGAATCTGCCTTTTGCAAAGGGGGGGCTTGTTGGGGGAGGGGGGCTGCACCCCTCAATTATGAATTACCCCCCCAAAGTGTCCCCCCCGCCAATTC